ATCAGACTGTGTCTTTGTAGAGCTGTGGATAATGCATATTAATTTCTAGTGATCAAAATCATCAGGGGAGTCCCGTTGTTGATTATCAGGCCTCCGTGTGTCTGTGTTCACAAGCCCAGACTCGGACAAAGAAATATAAACAATAAACACGTCTGTAGAGCGAGGTTAGGGGACCTTAGAAATCATTTAGTCCTGCCGGGACCGGTTTGGCTCAATGGATAGAGCGTCAGCTTGGGGACTGAAGGGTCCCGGGTTCAATTCCAGTCAAGGGCATGTACCTTGGTTGCGGGCATGTCCCCAGTAGGGGATGTGCAAGAGGCAGCTGATCGATGACTTTCTCTCTCATTGATGTTTCTAACTCTCTATCTCTCTCCCTTTCTCTCTGTATAAAAAATCAATAAAATATATTTTTTTAAAAAAAGGAAATCATTTAGTCCTAACCTCTCAATGTATAGAGAAGATAGTGAGCAGCCAAAATATGACTTATCAAAATCTCGTAGATGTTATTTTGAAACCCGGTCACATGTTAGCTCTCCACACACAATTACTCTTTCAAGTATTTTATAATTTTTCATGAATGTTCTACAGTAGGGTGCTCACTCTACAAGGTTTCTTAAGATAAAGAACAGGTTTCAGCTCTCCAGCTTCTCATTTCCTCTTGCACAAAAAAAAAAAATGCATTCAAATCTTTGCCTGATCTTGACCTCCATGGACCTGAATGGCGAGAAGGCATTGCCACCTCCTGCATTTGTCGTTTGGGGCATTCGTTGGACATTGGCTTTCCCCTGTGGGAGGAGAATCTTAGCTCTTTGTTTTCTTCATTCACACCTCCCACCGTCACTTCCCATGCACACACTGTATCTCAGTTTTTATTAAAAATATATGCAAAGTTTACATTATCAGGACTATATATGCTATTCAGAAAGGGGACTTATGTTAAACTATTTGTTTCATACCAGCATCACTTACTCCTGGAGTTAATAGTTTTCTTTTTACTTGCCTATTTTTATCTGTTTGTTTTTCTTGTGTGTGTGCGTATGTTTTATGTACTAACCGTTCTTTCAGTATTTAAATATTTGCCAGTTGTCTAAATAGTCTCTCACCATGTTCCATGATTCTGCCAGTTTCCAATCAGGTGTTCTGTCCATTGTATCCGCATCATGCTTTTGCAGAACTCTTTCTCACAAACCCCTGGCCTGCTCCCTAGTCTCGTCGCCCTCCCTGCCTGGACACTGGTGTCTCCTGCCATCACCTCCTGGGAGAGCACCTCACTTCCCTCCCATTTCCTAGACCTTATGTCTCCCTTTGCCTTGTTTTTATTCCCTCATTTTCATGGACCTCATCCTCCAGGGGCTTTTTAAGAAAAAGCTCAAGAAAGAAAAAAGTGTGTGTGTGTGTGTGTGTGTGTGTGTGTGTGTTTGCCTAAAACTGTCTGTATCCCATCTCCCCACCTGATTGTTAGAATGATGATACAAAGTTCTCTGTCGGAATTCATTTTCACTCAGCATTTTTTGTTCTTTGTTCTTTCTCCAGAATTTTGGAGACATTGCTTCAGTGTCTTTTTATCTGCGGTGTGATTGTTGAAAAGTGTTCCATTATTCTAGTTTCCCGTTCTTTATGTCTAACTTTACTTCTTCTCTGGAAGTTGGCTAAAGATATGTTGTTATCTTAGTGTTGTGAAATTTCACAGTGAGGTGCCTCAGAGTGGGACTTTTAAAATCCACTGTGCTGGGCACTCAGTGGGCCGGCCCTTTAAATCTAGAAAATCTACCCTCCCTCCAGTTTGGGGGAATTTTCTGGAATTACTTTGTTAATGATTTCTTCTCCTGCAGCTGTTTTGTTTTCTAGATTTCCTTGGAATTCCTGGATTATCTATCTGCTTTTTTTTTTTTTTTTGCCATTATCTGTCTTCTTTTTCTCTTCGTTCCAATGTCTTCAATTTTAGTGTTGATGCTTTCAGCTGAGGTTTGTATTTATGCTGTCGTGTTTTTAATTTCAAAGAGGTTTTGTTTTCTCTGTTCTCTGAACACCCTTTTTCCTAGCAGCACCGTTTTCTTGATTCAAGATACCTTGTATTTCTCTTATCTCTATACGTTTTTAGTAATACTTTTGGAAATTTTCTTTTCCTTCATAATTATGGATCTCTCCTGATTGTCTGGTTTTTCTCGGTTCTGTGGTAGCATTGATGCTCTGCTCACATACAAGTGTGGGGACTAAAAAGTGAAATTCTGAACACACGCTTGTGGGAGGGGACACTGGTGACATCTGCTGCAATGACCTGGCTGAGCCAGTTGTTAGGGAACTTTAATGTCAGGCTCTTGCAGGCCTTCCTCATGGGGTGGTCAGGTCCCCTAGGAAAACTCCCCCCCAACTCTTGCCAGGAGGGTGAGGGCCCAGCGGCCAGTATCTGGGAGATGAGGGTGAGGAGTAGAAAAGAGGAATCTCAGTATATTTTGTCCATATTACTTAATCTCTTATCTCTCTATAGCACTTCACCCTCAGCATCGTGTGGCGTGTCCCCTAATTCATAGATGTCTGGGCTTGCTCTCACCACAGAATGCCCTTTCTGGCTGCTGCTGAGGTGGGAGGTGCAGGCACGCAGATGTTGACAGGAAGGGAAAGGAGAGGGGAGTCACCTGCTTCTTAAACACCGTTCACCCCCTTCTCCCATCCCTCTGCCCCAGACATCTGCTGCTGGGAGCCTTCTGAGGACCCTGCATGTCAAAGCTGGTGCTCATCTGTTCTCCTCCAGCTTCTTGTTCAGCTTTCTTGGGTCCACTGAGTGAGGGACCACCATCCCCCACCTTCTAGCTTCCACAATTCTGTTGTTGTCATTTCTCCCACTTCTCTTATTGAAAAGATATAGATGTATATGGATATATGTGTGTGTATATAGACACTGAGTGGCCAGAATATTATGACCAAAGCCATAATTGCCCATGGATAGTCCTCGGAGTGTGAATGGGCACAGGGATTCCAGAAGAAGGTGAGGAAGGACTCTGGTACCAGAAAGGGAAAGGGAAGGGAAAGGATCCCAGCCTCTGATGATTCTCGGCATCCAGATTTAAGATGAGGTAACAGAGGCGCCAACTTTACATTCCAACATCTGTTCAGTTCCAAGAAATTAAAATGGAAAATAGAGGGAAAGAAGTTATACTTTTCAATTCTGCTAACATTTGTACATTTCCTCTGGGTTAGGAAAAGTATAACAACAGGACAGGAGTCAGGGGAGGGAACTAGTAATGAATGAGCAGCTATAGCTGGGCTGTGCGTGGAATTGTTTTTAATTTCACTAAGCCTAGGAGGTAAGTGTTGTTATCCTCATTTCATGGGACTATTTGAACCTAGCGGATTTATGGTCAACCACATAATCAGTGGGTAAGGGCCTTAACTTTAAAATGGGTCTTTTCAGCATCTAAAAAACCCAACTAAATGGGACCAAGGGTCAATAAAGGTAGCCACAGGAAAGCTTGAAGTGGGTGAGAATTAGCCCCTCTCAGCATCATCCCTGCCAGGACACAATGAAAGTAAATCTCAGACCAACACATATACTTTTTCTCTTAATTATTTTAAATTTTATTGGCATTAGTCAACATGAACATACAGGTTTCATGTGTGGATTACTAATTTACAAAATCTGTATGTAGGACCTTGTGCCCACCACCCAAAGTCAAATCTTCTCCTGTCACCTCATATTCCCCTCCCTCTGGCAACCACCACACTGCTGTTTGTGTCCATAAGTTTCAGTTTTATATTCCACATACGAGTTAAATCATATAATTCTTAGCTTTCTCTGTAGGTACTTTTAAACCACATTTATTAGTAATAGGCACAAAGCAGGACATCAATATGTTCTGTAAACTTGGAATCCCAATCCTCTGTTCTTCTAGGTTTTCCTACCACCACCCTCAGAAAAGATACTTAAGTCAGACCTGACAATATTTTATATATAGGTTTCTGTTACTCTTTTATTTATGTGTGTGTTTTTTAAGCTTTACTTGAGTACATTTTTAAAACTGATTTTGAAAGAGAGAGGATGGGAGAGAGAAAGAAACATTGATATGAGAGAGAAACATGGACTAGTTGCCTCTCAGACCCTCCCCTAATCAGAGATTAAGCCTGTAACCTTTTGATGTACAAGACAAGGCTCCAACTAACAGAGCCACCTGACCAGGCCAGCTTTGACTTCTTAATTAGGTGATGAAAATTCTTGAAGAGAATGAGTCATATATTTTTTTAATTTTTCCACAATGACTAGCACAATGCTAGATACATATACTAGTAGATACATATCCTAGTAGAAGCACAATAAATACTTTTTGATTAATAAAATTTGTAGCAATATCTTACAAAATATTTGGATCTGAGGGCTCTGTATTTGCTTTGAACTTCTAAAGTGCCTCAACGGACTTGTGACATTACAGAACCGCCTAGCTCACTTAGAATGATTCAGTGCAATTTACCATGAGTGTGAAAATGGTATACATTCTGTATAGTTGGGGGTTTCTTCTGTGTGTGTGTGTGTGTGTGTGTTTGTGTGTGAATTCAGCCTTGCTCCCAACTTGTATTATATTACACTTTGTCAAGTGTAAAGTATGAACCATAGTATACCAATACCCATGATGATATTTGGCTTCATTTCAGAATTTTTAAAATTGAGTCTTCCCATTTCCACCGATTTTAATTATGTCAAGCATCAGCTTTAGAAAGTAAGCTGTGGGCTCTTACTCCGAGCAGTGCTTGAATCAATCCTAAGGGTTGAAAAAGCACTGCAGTATGGAACCCTGCGGAGCTTTGACCAAAGGGATTTCCTGTCTTCGTTCACGTCTTCAGCGAGGAAAGGTGTACCGCTCCTTCTACTCAGTATGTAATCGCTGTACCTGGGCAGCGGTTAGTGCCGAGTGTTTGGTTTTGTTAAGCAATAGCCCTCAGCACACAGCCAACCTGCAGCCACACCCCAGCCAGGAGGGCCCAGGCTCGGCTTTCGGTTTGGTTTTTAACCATTGCACACCTGTGTCACGTTCGGGGAACCTGCTAGGATTTCAGTCTTGGAATACTACAAGCTTTTGGAGCACCTCTTTGGGGAAAAACAAAGGAGAAAGATCGACAGAACAGCTCCAATGTAGGTTTGATGACTGATGACGTCACAAGCCTGGAGAGGTAAGAAAATGCTTTCAGGAAGAAAATACGAACAAAAAACTTAATTCCTCCTGCCACTGCCCAGAGCGAGGAAGAAGGGCTGTGGACTCACCTCAGCGTTTTCCTCGGCAGGAAATTTGCTCACCGTAGCCGGGAAAGAGAGGGATTGCGACTGAATCAGAAAGACTGATGATACTAGAAATTTACTTTGCATTCTTTTCAAATTCACATAGAACTACATAGCAAAGTGTATTCAAATTTAAAAGCACTATAGTGTAAGGAACTCAAGCCCTGGTGTACATTATTATTTAAAGTCCCCCAGGAGAGAAAAACTTCTTTTTTTCAGCTTAAGTTTGCACATAGGCATGTATATACACACACACACACACACACACACACACACACACACATGCTCAATTTATCGTTACTCTTAACACTTCAATTTAGGTAATCTGGTTCACAATTTGTCGTTTGAGATTTCAATTCTGACAACTGGTCATATTTGGTTGATCATATATTTTTTCAATTTAGAACATTTCCTGCCCAGGAATCTAGCTTCAGTTTTTATGACACATGATGAATTGCAACTAGAGCTCAAATCTCAGAATTTGAATGATGCTAAATTTAATATATTTTCATATGTTTCTAGGCTAACTTCTGTGGTTTCCCCAGAAACATATCAGATTGTCTTCCATAATGTGCTATATGAATATATTTATGATAATCTAGGTATTTTAGAAGACAGCCGTTAATTATTTTAATATTTCTAGCTTTAAGACTCATATGTATTTCTTCCCTTGTATTTTCTCCCCAACCATATGATTATAGATTATTTTTATTGTCTTTATTGGGGTGACATTGGTTGTTAAAAATTACATAGGTTTCAAATATACAATTCTACCAGGCATCATCCATATATTGTGTGTTTATCAAGTGCTGTAATTATAACTTAAAGCTAGGCTGACTCCTGGTGGCTCTGTCATACCTTCTGTGCTTGAAGCATTTAATATTTGCTGAAATTGCCCATGGCCTGACAATGAATCCTTGGTTTTCCTGAAATCCAGAATAAATGATAAGGTTTGTAAATGTATATAAAATAAAAGGACAAGCGAGGTCTTAGAATCTCTGTCTTCCTTGCTATTTGATCTGGTTAATAACTAACACAAGAGGGCTGCTGTTGCTTTTATTTTTAGAAGAAAATACTATCTCCTCCAGGGAGGAAAAACAGATCAATTCGGCCTGTTTACCCGATCGTTGAGCAGACGAGAAGCCAGCCTCTGCTCGGTGTTTGGTCCGTGCTCCCCTGCCCTCGCTAACCTTGAGTTGGTTTGAAAGGAAGGGAGAATGCAGTGTGCTACATGCAGCAGCTACCAGCTCTGGACACATTCCATGGGCTGGATTCTTTAGTTCATTTGAGACAGTAAGCCTGTGATATAGGCATGATTTCCCCTATTCCACATTCTAAAAAAATAAGCCTTTTTGTGTTTGTGTTGTTTTGCATTGTGTTTTTTTTTTTAATTATTATTAATGTATCCTTTTATTTTTTTTCTTTAAACATGTTTTTATTGATTTGAGAGAGAGAGAGAGAGAGGAAAGAAGAGGGATAGAGAGATAGAAACATCGATGAGAAACATTAATCGGCTGCCTCTTACACGCCCCCTACTGCTAATCTAGCCTGCAACCGGGGCATGTGCCATGACTGGGAATCGAACCACTGAGCCACACCAGTCACGCCTAATGTGTCCTTTAACACACACAAAAAAGGGGGGATGGGGTGGAGAAATGATCTTACAGAGGCCTAGAATTCCAAAAAGTTATGATAAAGATTTTAGGGCAGCATATAATTGAAAATATCAAAAACACTAAAAGATTTTGTCATCTTGACAAGATGCTCCCCAAATGGCTTGTTGTCTGCGTCGATTTCACATGTGGCAAATGAGTTTTCCTAAATTCCAGCTCATGATTCTGACATAAAATATTGACTGTTGGAAGTTACCTTTTGGGTCTGTGCTAAAACACTCCAGTTACAAATTTACATTATTCATTCATCCACTTATCCTGAGGGAAAAAAATGGAAACAGTGATCCGTGGGAGGCAGGTAACAATCTTTCATAGACCCAAGAAATCCGATTGTGACTGGGCTTGCTCCCAAACCCGCTCTTTAGTCAGTGGAGTTTGAAAATTGTTTCTCTGGCCCCGCTGGCGTGGCTCAGTGGTTCAGTGTCAACTGTGAACCGGGAGATCACAGTTCAGTTCCTGGTCCGGGCATATGCTCGGGTTGTAGGCTCGATCCTCAGTGTAGGGTGTGCAGGAGGCAGCCAATCAATGATTCTCTCTCATCCTTGATGTTACTATCTCTCCCTCTCCCTTCCTCTCTGAAGTCAATAAAAATATATTTTAAAAAGAAAAAGGAAATCGTGTCTCTGCTGCAGTTCATCTGACTGACCCATAATGTATCCACAAAAGGAATCTTGTACAGCGATTCTGCCATCATGTTAATGATAAGCACTTAGTTATTCCACGCCTGCTGTATTTGAGGAATTATTCCAGGAGCGTAGCTGCATTTTCTCTAATCCTTACACTAGCCCTAAGGAAAGTACTGTCCCCATTCCATGGGTGAGGCGATGAGTCCTGCCTCAAAGTCACATGACTATGCTGAAGTCATTTTTCTCTCTCACTGAGTGTTAATGCTCCACTGGGAACTCGATGCCAGACATCCACCCCTTGAGATTGATTAACTCATAGCAGGAGAAGCTGGCTTAGGGTCACTGTTATTGGAGGTTAGGTGTGTGGCTGAGGGAAAATTGTCTGGGAAACAAATTTATCCTTCAGGCTCAGAACCCTGAAACCTTGTGCTAGAGCCTGAACTGGCTGGGGAACTTCAGAAATTTTGTGAGGTGGTATTAAAAAGTTAAATTCTGTGAAAATATAGGCAAACAAATTATATTAGCAATGAAGTTAATAAATACTCAAAACTCATCATTTACTAATTAGTTTAGTTTCCTGTGTTTTTTACGTCTATGGTACCTGTGTGGTAGAAATATTGTATAATGGTGTGCAACTATACACCTCTTTTGTTTTTTTTCTAAATATATTTTTATTGACTTTAGAGAGGAAAAAAGAGGGAGAGAGAGAGAGAGAGAGAAACATCAATGTTGAGAGATAATCATTGATCAGCCTCCTGCATACCCTTTAATGGGGATCAAGCCTGAGACCCAGGAATGTGCCCTGACCTGGAATTAAACCATGACCTCCTGGTTCATAGGTTGCCACTCAACACTGAGCCATACCAGCTGGCTATACACCTCTTTTTAACTTTGTGTTTATTGACTAAATGTTACTCACTTGAAATCAGCCACAGCAGGAGTATTTATACCAAGGAAATCGACTATAAATCAGGTTCAACTTAATGTTTTGTCACTTGACTATGCTTAAGAATGTGATAAAGGAAACATTAATGCAAATTAAACATAAAAGTTGCCTGTCTTTAGCTGTTACATGAGAATAACACACAAAAAATTCCTGAGGAAATCTTTCTTCCATTAAAAAAAAGTTAAAATTTTTAAAAATTTATATTAAAAAAGTATCTGTTTCAGCAAAGAATGTGCTCCTGTCATTAACAAACAAGAGAAATTCCAACTTTGGTGCTCATTGTTCCACTTCCATCCAACTAGTTAATGTATTGTAAATGAGCTATCAACTAACATTCATGTCAGAGCTACACTTGTTTTGTCCGTTGCAGCCATAGGTTGACTATGAACAGAGGAGTACAGAAACACTCAAAGCATCCAGTGGAAACTAATTTGTCCAAATAAAAAGAAAGCATTGTCTAATCTTTATTTGTGAACCGTATTACACACCCCTTATTTATAATAATAAACATTTTTGTTTCGGTAGAACCAGTTGGTAAACACTTGTTACCATACCACTGCCTGTGAGGTTTGGTCTGCAAACTTTTCACGGGCCAGAACCGCAGAGTCAAATTCATGCCTTCTCCAAAACATTAGCACCCTTTAATATAGTTGAAATCAGAGCATAATTATTTATCCCACAATTAAAAAAAAAGAAAGAAAGAAAGAAAAGAAAAAGAAAGAAGAGCTAAAAAGCATGTCAACTTCTGGTGTTGAATTTTCTGCATTAGTCCTCCAGCAAGATTGAATACTGCCAGGAAGTCTTCAAACTACCCAGAAGCAGGTTACAGATAAGTTTCTCCTGAAATGCCATGCATTTTGTTGCTATATGTTCATGTACCTTTTTTGCTAAAGAAGATTATAGGCTCCATTTCCAGTTATTTCTGGCTTAAGCAGTAGGATCCCCCTGTCCCTCTCCCCAAAATAGTAAGTTAATACATTTTATGTGTTAGTATGTCAAGGTAAGAAAACAGGATTGACAATTTGGGAATTCAAACCCGTCTTGTATTTACTTAGTTGAGTGAATTAAATGTAGAGTAAGAGCATATCAATTTCTGCTTTTGTTTTACTTCTAACCTGTACCACTCTCTGGAAACACTGTGATCCGTGGATTGTCACGCATGTTTTGATATGCTTAGTTACTTACTTCTTCCTTAGTTGGTTTCGGACTGTTTGTACAACACTGTGTTTTCACTTTACATTCCACACTGTGGAAGGTGGGGCTGTTTTGTTGATTTTAGCTTAAGAATTAGCAAACTTTCTGTGACCAAATTTTTTACTTTCTCTGAGCAAACTTTAATACACAAAATATTGAGAACTGTCCTCCTTTCCATCATGCTCCAATGGTTATTTAATATTTATTAATGGGGGGGGGGGGCAGGTGTGGTGTGAATGAGTGAATGAATGAAAGAAAAACAACTAGAGACCTTTCCGATATTTTCTGGAAAAGCGCTGATGTAGAATTAGGGATGGTTGAGTGGAAGGGATGAAAATAACAACTAAGCAAGTTATTTTTGACTCAGGTTTGAACAGTCATCTGATGGAGACAGATCATATCTGCAGAGATCTTGGCTCCCTCAGGAAAGCAGACAGATTGCCAAGGAATGGTGG